CCCCCCCCACCCACTCTACGTCGTGTCACTTGCGTCGAAAATGTATTTTTATATTTTTTTTCCGTACTCTTTTCTTTTTTTAAAATCGTCTTAACTATCGACGATCCGAAGCCTACCAACCAGTCACGGCCCTGTTGCTAATTCAGCCTAAAATCCATGTGGACTTTGAACTCTGACAAGCGAAACCTTACGGCAGTGAAACTGGAGCGAGTTAGCCTTTTAGTCGTTATCCAAGGAGCCTTATAAACACGCGTATAAATATATACATATATATAAGTGCATGTATTTACAGTATATATACCCATATATATATATGTGTATATATTATACAGACACATTATTCTATTATAATGATATAATAACGAGTAATTAGGGTATAAGGATACTCCGAGTTAGTTATAGCGTCTAACTAATTGTTAATGGGAGAAAGAGAAACAAAACGAATGAGCAGCAGGAACGCGTTTTCCCACGTATGTAAGAGGCAGACAAATTAACGAATTTTCACGTGTGCGCATGCGCGGTTTATTTATTTATTTTTTTTTCTTTTTCTTTTGATTCATCCTTCTCGCGTTAAAACGACCGATACGGCAACAAGAAAAATAGATAATCCGCACACCGTCCCTGTCGAATGTTTCACGATGGTCCAGCATCTTGCCTCTGGTTCATTCTCAGCATCCCGATTCCGCTATTCTTCATACGAATCTATAAAGACTTGTCTGTAAAGCGAAATTTATACAAAATGAGACGAAGAGACGATGGAAAGAGAATTTTGACGTTTTTGCAAGAATTCTACTTTTGTATGATGGAAAAAAGAATATATATATACAGTATATATATTATTGGCTCATTCGCGTGTACATGTATTCGTATGTTGAATAGGATCCTTAATAATGCTATTATACGTTCTTTTTTTTTTTCACCTATCAATCACCATTCTTGTATTATACCTTGAGACAAATGGCTATTTATGCAGAAATACTACTTTTTGTACAATGGACAGTTTTGACTCGGTTGTTTAGGCATTTTTCCTGTATTTCGCAAACCATATTAATTTTGTCCCACGTGCGTCTCTTCTGTTTTTCTTCTTCGAATCTTTCTCTGGTCTCGTTTTCTTTTTTTTTTTTAAGCATCGCCTCATACCAATATCTCAAACCACCCCGCTATCCTCGTTCGACAGTTTACTTCGCTTTCAAAATATTCTTTTGGCTCGCGTTACGCTCGCTAAGGAGGCATGGTAATTACTCATTACTATATTACTAGCAGTTACTCAATTAGTAAGCTTAGACGTGTAAGAGTAATATTACGTTAGGTTTTTGAGCTCTCTACTAATGCTGAAGCTAGATGATATTTTTTTTATAACTATCGACGATTGAACCGAGTATTGCTATTTTATTACTGATATCAATTAATTAACGATTAATACGCGAGTATTCGCAGTGTCTTTAATGTGTAAGCGATAATTAGCTGCGACGAGAGCCGTACATTGGTCATCTTTGATTCTTTCGCGTCTTCTCTTTTCTTCTTTTTTCTTTTTTTTTTTTTTTATTACTTCTCTTCCCCCTCCTTATTTTTCTTTTGTTCTCTCGTAAACGTTCGATTTAGCAGTGACGTAGCCGAGGCTTCTTCTTTATAGATTTTTTTTTTTTTATATATATATCAGTATTCCACACCTTCGATCTTAGCACTTAAGTTTTTGAATCGAACGCTACTTAAAGGAACCCTCATTGTGTCCCCTCTGCCCCCTCCCCCCTCGCTCTCTACTACGAGAATCACTTAATTAACTATTAAATTATTTACTTTTTTTTTGTACGTTTATTTTTACAGCCCCGTAATTATTATTTAAACGGTAATTTATTACTCTCACCCCGTCCTGGCCCTACCACCCCACTCCCTCCCTCCATCCTACATCCCTCCCTCTCCACCCACTATATTCTTTTCGTATTGTCCATCGTATCTCTTGCGTATCTTATCGATCCATCCATCCTGTATTATTATTTAGGTTATTTCTACTTTCTTTTCTTTTCTTTCCTCTTTTCTCTCACGCGCCAAAACGCCAACGTATGTCCACCTACGTAGAGCTTCCTTCTTACTTTCTCTCCCTTGCATCGTCCATCTAGTTTCTTTCGCCTTTTCGCACCCACGTTCGCATACGAACGTATCTGTGGCAGCCACTGGCTTAATTTATTTAAATCTAATTTACGCGGAGAAGGAGGATTGTTTTTGTTTATTCTCTTTTTATCTTTTAAAACCATTATTATTATTTTTATTATTATTATCATCATCATCAGTTCGTCATATTATTGTTATTATTATTATTATTATTATTATTATTATTATTATTATTATTATTATTATCAGTCAGCCACTGTATGAATGGTCATTCCCCCCTTCCCCCTTGCTTCGTACATTGACGATCCGTCGATGACGTCACACGGCGTAAAATTAACGCACGGTCGCACTACCTGAAATCCACATGGGAATTTTGTTCTTTTTTACAATTTAATCGTCTTTAGATAGTCGATACGCGATCTTATTCTCTCTGAGTACAATCGGCCAATAGTCGGAGAGAGAGAGAGAGAGATAGAAAGAGAGAGGCTAAATCTCGTGCTAGGGCGTCACGATGCCATGTACGGGGAAGGGGAAATGCTAATGACAGGAAATGTAAACGGAGAGAAAGAGAGAGAGAGAGAGAAAGTAAGTGCGGATTCTCATTCGGGCGACTATTAATAATGATAATTGTAATTGTAATAATTGTAACGATACAATAGGGCGAAACTTATTCGATAAACAAAATTAATCTCACTCGTCCGTGGCTATTCGCGTTTTCTGATTACGCCAGGCGACACACGCGCGCGCGCGCGCGTGCGCGCGTTTCCGTCCGTTTGTTTGCGCGAGCCTTCAAAATTTTAACGTCTGACGCGCGATTTTGTCTCTTCGATCAATTAATCGATCTTACCGCTCGAACAGGATCTAGCTATACGTTCACGTCGTGCCACTCGTTTTTCACGTAGGTCGTGGCAAACGTGGATACGTAGCTATGTGTAGTACACGCGCGTTCGCTATGGGACTGTCTAGCCAGTCTTTTGCATTGCAGTACCACGATTGACGGTGACGATTTGCGCAATTGACGAACGACGAGTACGTAATTCATTGGACGAGGTAGAAGTTTACAATGACGCTATAGATATCGATTAAAAAGAAACATACGTTTTTATATAATGCGGCGATAGTGGAAGATGAAAAAAAAGAGAAAAGTCTTTACTGTATGCCTACCGTCCTTCCCTCTCTTCGGCACTATGATATATATATTATATATATATTATATATATATTACCTACCACTCCCTCTTCCCATCCCGTGTCACACGAGTATTAATCTGAACTAATTGACTGAGTATTATTTTTATATTGAACCTTAATTATAAATAAATGATAAAAATTGTACACGTTTGAAGAATGGACGACTATGACGATGACGATGATGGTATGGTTGGCGAGGATGATTATTGTGTGTGCGGTTTATGAATAATAAGAATGGATCTGGAAACATGACTAATGCAATTAATTGAGGCGATGGGATTTATGGGAAAATTTTATAATGACAATCGATCGATCGATCGATGATATTGTATGAGCACGTGGTATTGTGTTATGTCACGTGGCATTGTTAGGGTGCTGGCAGTGCTAGCGGAAAAAGTGTCTTGTATACATGAGACGGGGGAATAAGGCGATTGATGATATTGACGATGTTGATTGGAGGGTGAGATTGAATTTAAGAGGAAAAATGGAAATTGACAAATGGAATGCGATAGATGTGAATGCATATATATATGCATGTATATATATGTATGTATGTGTGTGTTACGTATCGCGACGCGGATACGAACCGTTTATCTATGAGGGCGAAAAAAAATTTCATCTTAGCAGTAGCGTGTAAAGAGAGTAAAGGATGAAAAAAAAAAGAATAACGTGACAAAGACGTAGATGGAGGGGAAGAAAGAGAAAAAAAAGAGAGAAATTACTTTTGTATCCAGGAACTTGTGCGGTGTAGTTCAGGCTTCAGGCCCAGCAGCTATTGAGATTATTCAAGGTTGTGTGTATCATTATAAGTATTTTCAATTGTTGAATAGTAAATAGTGCAAGCCGGCGTAATAGCGACGACGGGCGTCTCTCTAGGGTCTGTGAGAGTGTGATGCGACGCCAACGCCCCCCCCCCCCTGTTTTTGTCCTCCGCCGTGCTTTGTTTCGCGCGAGGGTGTACTTTTTTTTTTTTTGAAAAGGGAGGGAAGTAGGCGTCGCGACGCACTTGCGAAAATGACAAAAACAAATACGTGCGTCACTTTCCGAATATTTCAAAATCCACGATCCCCTCTTTGTATAGTTTTTCTTTCTTTTTTCATTTTTGTGCTTTGATCCATCTCTTCCGTCGTAAATACGATAACGTTTGGTTCAGTACGAATTGCTGAGTTGGTTTGGCCTGATTAAATCGTTTTTTTTTTAATTTCATTTATGATCTTTGTCACTCTGTCTCTACTCTTCTCCCTGTCGTCTTATATCTTTTCCCTTACCTCTTTTCTCTTTTCCTTACTTCTCCTTTTTTTTTTGTATTTTATACGTTATTATTCTTGTATTCGTACTCCTTTGATCATCCCGCACATCATCCACCAGGGACATGAATTTTTTTAATTTATATAAATATCGAATGAAAGCACGAACACGGCTGTAGCGTGGAATCTTCCATGACAGGTGTACCTAATTTATATCGACTTATGGGTTTAAGATACGATGAGAAATTGTGTTTTTTTTGTATTGTAATGGTAAGTGATAATGCTGTTAGACATTTTAAGCTATTTATTCGGCTGCTATGTGATTTGTTGGAAATTATTTTGAGAGAACTTTTAAACGGGACGTGAAAAAATTTATGGAAATGCCCGTGGCTCGTGGCGGATGTCACACGGAAGATTCATTAAGGCGATGAGAGTTTTGAGGCGTAAGGATGAACGTGAAAGACGGGCACGCGTTTGGGAGATTGAAAAGTTCTTTAAATTGTGAAAAGTTACTTGCGACAAGTCACAGAAGCATCGAGCCAATCGATTTTTTACAATGAAATCCGTGCGACAATCGTCCAATTAAGTTTTAAGCCAATTGCGTGAGCCGTGCTTGTTCAAATATTCGCGCTCTTAAATGCGCTTCCATTCATACACAAAGAACCTATGGCATTACTTTCTTATGTACGAGCTTTACGTACGCGAATAATCATACGTGATTATTATGTTACTTAAAGCGACTGCTTTCCCATGTTGGATCTGTCGCGATTACAATACGTATTTATGTATGTTTCTATGTAAGTGACAAGCATGGCTCACGGACGGGCATCGGACCAAAATATACAACATTGCGTTTGCCCTTTTTAACAGTTGGCACAATTCAATTTTATACTACTGCGAAAGATTAAAGCTGTAACATATTGGAGAGTCTGAAGTATATAAGTAACGTTAACGGATTATTGGGGGGCATCTTATGCAAGGGCATTGTTGTGATACCACAGACGCAGCTTCATTAAATCTTCAATAAAAATAATGTGTTGATAATGTTGTTTTATTTGTCGTCTCCATCAATGTTCCTATTTAATTTACACAATCCTATTTATGTTGTACTTATAAAGTTTGTGATTGTTCTAGTCATTGTCAGCAGTCCTCTTTGCTGCTGGTAGGTCCCAATTTTTGAGACCTGGTTTCTTCGAAGCTGCCATATAGACCAGTGCTCCTCGACCAGGAATAGGTCTTACAGCTACATAGGTTCTGTGATCATCTGACCATTTGGAATGAAACTGGATCTTAGGTTGATTTACAGTCTCCTTCAGAATCTCCTCTGCTGACATTCCAGAAAATTCATCCTGTCATTATATGTGCTACGATAAGTTTCTTAAAGTATTGTTTGATATTTTTCTTTTAATGTACCACATAATCCAAAAAGGCTAGGCTGTTTTCTGGGTCACAAACTGCATCAGGCTCTGATTCTAAGCATCCTCTCAAAACACCATCCCTTAGTACCTTTACTACATAGGATAAAAAGGCATTGCGGTTCTTCTTAACTTCTAGTACTGGTGATTTGATGCTGCTCACTCGAACTAACCACTTGTTAGCCAGTTGCATTTCTAAAAATGATATTCTCATGCTGTTATTCTGTTTCTAAAGAAATCTCACATCATCTTGTAGATTAACCCTTCTTGTCTGCCAAATTCTTCAATAGAAACTTTGCTATCTTCATCTTTTTATTGAACTGCTCATCATACATAAGACCAATATCTTTCAAAGACATTTTCTCCATTGTCGTTATATATATAGAAATAAAAATACCAGAAACTATCGAAATAATATTAATTTAAATTTAGAAATGTTCTACTGTAAAAATTGAATTTTCAACTCGGCCGGAAGTTGTGGGTCGCGTCTGTTTTATTTTAATGGAGGAACACGCGGATGAATACATCATCTAGAAAGAAGCAGATCCCTAAGTTGAACATATCCGTTTCCGCGTCTTATTGTACTTTATTCACAAAATGAAAGGTTGATTTATTCGAGTATTATAGTGTTCCTTTCAAAAATCGAAAGTTTCGCGAAATCTTTCAATTAATCAGAATGAGCCGCGGACGCACCCTCCAACGAATGGATGGTCTGATATCGCTGAAAGTCGGCAACCTTTCTTATCGATCGACAACAAGCGACGTGAGGCGTGTATTCTGTCGTTACGGTAAGCTGGGCGACGTCTACATCCCAAAGGACAAGAATTCACGTCTCAGCAGAGGATTTGCATTTGTCAGGTGAGACAATCGTGTAGAATATATAATTAGAAAATATTTCCATAAAGCTGCGCATCAGTCGTTCATTCTGAGCCGCGTCTTGACCGCAGTGCGCTAAAACGCGGCTTCACTTCCTCTAGAAAATCACGCAACAAATGAAATTCATGTTAGAAGTACGAGGAAAAATTTAGAAGTACGTACGACAGTAAAAAAAAATAAAAGTAATAAAGTGAATTGACGACAAATAGGTATATGTATATTTTGTATGAAAAACAGATGCTTTTTTGAATTGTACGTCACGCGTACCGTGAACAGTAGTGTCGAAGATTGCCGAAGATAGCCGAAGTCTTCTACCAATCGGTTAGTTCCTGTTGTGACGTCTAGAGGGCCTCGTAAATTCCAGGCTCGCTTGGGATACCCCCACCCTGATGAACATTTGACTGGTGTAGTGGCGCAGTCACAGGTTCCTGTGCGTCATCTCCGGTCGTGCTCTGCGCGTTCCTCAGCTCTTCCGCTATTCGCCATCTTGTTCTCGTCGTGTGTGGACGGTTACGCTTTGTGGTCTTATCTTCCTGGACGATTCCTCGAGTGCGAGCAAAGGTACCAGCAGTTTTCTAAGAAGCCTGTCGAGAAGCTCGCTGTTATAATGAGCTACGGCCGGCCGCCGCCCCGTATTGACGGGATGGTGTCCCTCAAGGTGGACAATCTCACCTACAGGACGACGCCGGAGGATCTTCGGCGCGTGTTCGAGCGATGCGGCGAGGTTGGCGATATTTACATACCGCGCGACCGATTCACTCGCGAGAGCCGCGGTTTCGCTTTTGTCAGGTAAGAGTGTTTGAACTTTTGGATTTTATACTTGAGTCGGACCGGCTTCCCTTCAGAATATTTCACATGTATTTTTGCCTTTTTTGCCTTCCACTTTTACGCCTTATTCGTGGATCGTTGATCCCACATTTTCCTCGCCACCGTTTTCGACAAGGCTGACGTCATCAGATTTCGTTCACTAGATCTTTCGGAATGTATAAATAATAATATATTTTGTATGAGACAATGGCGCGCAATTTTTATACGTATAGAGTATTCAAGATTTTTTGTAGGAATTCGTTTAAATCGTACTCGACAATTTTCATGGTGTATGCACGAGTAAACTTGCAATGACATATTAATTACTGTGAGAGCTTCATTGAATGTTGGATATAGTTTACAGTTACCTCTATATTGGATAAAACGTTTTACAGTAATATTACTTTCTAAAAATAATTTCATTGCCATATTCTAGGTTCCTGGTCTTATACCACTGTTTATTATTTAATGTTGCTACATGATTTTTTGATGTTAACACCCTATCATTATTTATGATTTCAGGTTTTATGACAAACGTGATGCAGAGGATGCATTAGATGCTATGGATGGACGGTTGTTAGATGGTAGGGAACTTAGGGTTCAAATGGCTCGTTATGGTCGACCAACATCACCACACCGAAGCCGTGGAAGTCGTCGACGTGGAAGGTATTGTATATAACAGCTTGCAAAAGTGTAACTGTTTATTCCTTCCAAGGTACTTTGATTTTCATTTACTCCATATAATTCTTCTGCTTACATACAGGTCACGAAGTCGCAGTCGGGATCGCAGACGATCTCGTTCAAGATCACGCTCTAGGTCACGTAGTCGCGACAGGGACCGAAGACGCTCCTACAGTCGTAGTCGCAGCCGCTCTCGTTCTGACAGTAAGAGCTCACGTGGAAAATCGCGTTCACGCAGCAAGTCTCAGGAAAGACAGAAGGATAGTCGCTCCAAGTCAAGGTATGATACAATTTCTTATAAACATTATGCGACTAACGTCTGTCTGTCATTTTTATTCAAGTAACATCCTTACGATAATTATTTTATTTTGTTTACAGAGACTGAAGTAATTATAAGGTTATGAGAGTACAAGCGTGAACAGATGGGCGTGCCCCAAGTTGCAAATGCAGAATATCGTTCTCACGTGAAAAAGAAAAGGTATTCTATTACTCTCTATACCTAAACCACACTTTAGCACGTTCACATCCTTCTATCATTTACATATTAACTATGGTGACGCACTTCTGTGGGTTGGGAAACCAACCCAAAACTAATTTTAATGTAATATATCTAGAGTACAAGGATTGTCGACGACTTAAACAAAAAAAAATATAAACTAAAAATAGGGCGATAGTAAAAAAAACGAAATTCAAAATTTGGCGAAATTCACGACGTTCGCTCGGCCCCACTATCGCGCGTTCCTTCATTGTCTTATTCTTTTGGTGGCATTATTTAGATTAGTAATGGCGAATTATTTCTCGGTACACGTGACACGCGATTAAATAATCTTTATCAGCACGAATACGTATTTTTTTGCCGGGGCTATTACTTTCACATTGACGCTTTTTGCGACGGCTTGTTATTACGCCCCCCCCCCCCCTT